AAACGACAGATTCACCCTGAACGAAGAAAATATTAATCAATCAAAAATAAATCTGAAGATGTTGCTTCATTTTTTTTGTTTATCGATTTGTTTGATAAGGCTCAACCTAATTAACTTTACAGAGCCAAGGATTCTTGTTCACTATACAATACACCTAGTCAAAAAGTTCAACGCAATAAACATTTTATCTTCCGCTATCCAATAAGCCTCCTCCACGAGAACGGGAGCCGCTTCCAGTGGTTTCATTGTATGGAAGATTCGCCAACGGGAGCAATGGAAGCAAAACGTGGTCAGCTTCTGTCGACAGCCGAGTGAACACTGATGTTGCTTGATCAAAGAACTGAAAATAAACTAAAAAAATTAAAATAAATAAATCCAGCTAAAAGGAAGGCTCCTTTCCTTTATTTAACGTCGGTCTCTGTTCCGCAATCTTGTGACAATCACCGACGGACATCGATTGCCATCTATTGGCGGCAATCGAATGTGCAGGAAGGCAACTTCAACACCTGCTTAGGATATCGTACCCATTCAACACACATGGGCCGGGACCAACGGCTTTACTTCCCTTCCGAATTAAGACATTACCAGAGACTTTTATGCCTCGAAAAAATCCCAGCGACCTGGGTTGGGATTGAACCCAGACCCATTGGGGTGTCACGCTTATCACTACACCACCGGCACCGGCAAAAAAGGAAGGCTGACAAAGGTGAAACAAACAAACAAAAATACCAAAACTTATTCTATCAAACCAAATAATGGCGCAAGAGATAATCAACAGCACAACAGAAAAATAAACTCCACCACTCGAGAACAAAACGTATGCGCAAAATTCAAATTAATTTATCCAAACCATCATGCACCACAGCACCGAAAAATATTTACTTCACTCCGATTGTTGTCAGGGATGATGTAAAAGTATCATATTCTTTTCATCACCGCTGGCCATTGGCCAGCGGGGCAAACGACTGGGTAATGCGTACCACCAGTACCGCGAGTACTTGAAGGATAAAATAGACCCCATTAGTGGTCCATTAGCCTCTTACCCAGTAACTCCTATCCCTACCTCCTCGTGGTGTCTCCTGGGATATGAGCAACCTTAGCGAAGATCGGGTAACCAACCCCGGTGGGATCTTTGGTCATATGCTGACAGGGAAGGGGGCCCCTAGCGGGTTCGGCCTACACGGCCTGAGCGTCTGTTCACCATGGAGGTGCGGCTCAAACAGCGTCTGACTGGCATCCAGCGGCTGAATAAGAAATGCTGTATTGTGTCAGCTAAATCTAAGATGGCAGCCCCATCTACACAATAACTGAGCGTCTGTCCACCATGGAGGTGCGGCTCAAACAGCGTCTGCCTGGTATCCAGCGGCTGAAACAAGAAATGCTTATCCCCGAAAGCTATACCCAAGATGGCAGCCCCATCACGGCGGATAGGAGACCTTAGGCTAACTACCTACTGTCCCCGAAACTTTACAACTGTTACAGAAACCAATAGAGATTGTTGTCACATTTTACTTTCATATCCCTTCGTTCTCTATTATAATCATGGACAAACCGACATGAAAACCATCACTCTTTATTTCATTGCTTTACAGCGACATAAGTTTGAGTTTGTGATCAAGAAAATCTTATTTCAACCCTTATTGCAGCATCCAATATAAAGGACATTATCAATAGACAAGCCAATTTCTCCAAACCCCAACTCAGTACGAGTTATTGGTTGTGAAGATGCCATGAGATGAGTCATATACACACACACCTATTATCAACTTAGAATTGTAGCTATAAGTTGTATGTGGAGAAAAATGTGGAGAAAAATGTGTATAGCAGTAGTCTAAACGTTTTTTAGTTGCTGCTATTCAAATTGCCTGACAAGCTGAATAATAGTTGTATAAATGCTGAGTAGAGTATTTTGACAGCTTTTGCCTGTAGCTGAATTCACAGTTTTTATGCAACTGCTTTACAGCACGAAACTACAAAAATTAAGCTTATATAGCTGAAAATGTTTCTTGGGATCAAGGGTAACTCAATAATTTCTCGACCAATTTTTGACTTTTCACCGGTTTTTCAAAGCAAAAAGTCAGACCTTTCGAAATATATGCACATTTATGTTGAGATATTTTAATTAAATATGATCTTTATTAAAAACGCATTTTTTTATTATGTAGACGCCGTTAAGGGGACTAAAACATGATTCTTCCCCCTCGCCCTAATACCACTTGTTCTACATGCAATACTGAGGCTTTGTTCAAAATTTTTGCTAAATCAGTCCACATTTACCTATTTGGTGCTATTTTTTCGAGTCGAAGATTATCTAGTTTGATTATTCGGAAAGCTTAATTCCTTTAGCTTTACGGAGCCGATAATTCATTGTTCATTGATTGTAACAAAATTAACTAATTTTTATGTCTAGTAGGAGATGAGCCGAATACTCGCGGCTTACCCGAGGAGGGTACATTACCGATAAATAGGATCAGAGTAGGAGCTTAAGAGTGGGGTTTCATTGTCTCATCAGAGCGTTGTCGCCAGTATGAACGGTAGTGCGTATCTAGATTCGTCTGACGTTAAATCGGCTATGGTGACCACTGGACAAAGATGAGACTCATCGAGACGGCAAACAAAAACTAATAAAGAAGACAAAAACGAGCTGAAGTTTAAAATGTATAAAGAAACATCATTTTCAAAGCTTTGGCGCTAGGTGGCGTTGCAAACGCCCCAAACTTCACCAAACCCAATTACATGCTTAATTGTCGAAGACCGAGACGGTCCGAGTTCCTCCCTGAAAAGTTATTAGCATTTTATTAAAACGATGTCACCAGCAGTGATATTCTGAACTAAAGTGGCTGAATTGTTCCTTTTTAGTCTTAACATGTGTCGATCAAACATCAACAGAACAGAGCTTGTATCCTACCGGTAAAAGTTCCAAATCAAGAGCACACAAAAATCGATACCAAGATAGCAACAAGCAAACGTGACGCAAAATCATGAAAAGAGTAAAATGTATATTAAAAATCGTCGGATGTAGATACAAAAACCGGCTTGGCGATTGTTTAGACTGCAGGAGCCATTAATGCTGTCTCCTAAATAAATATAAATATTCATAAAAATTAACATAAATATTTTATAACATAATCACACGTCCAAAGGGTGCAAACAGGTGTACAGCATTCGATTTCTAAAATTTGCATAACAACTTTTACCAATGGTGGTGAATGAACCTTAAAGTTTAAACCCTTTGCGAGGAGCCTCGAAATGTGTATGAATGTCTTTCTATCTTGGCAAGAATGTAATTAAATATTATTCTCCAACAAACGTTCATCTTAAGTCGATTGGACTGGAATGTATTGAAACATTTATTTAGTAAAAGATTTTCCGTTTGTTCTACACTGAGCATCTAAGGAAAAACAATATCATTTCAGAGGCATCGAATTCGATTCTTAGAATTTTTCTCGACTTGGTTTAGAGGTTTTGGAAATTTTAAGTTAACAACCTGTGGAAGTGCTCAAAGATCACTATGTTGTAGGTAGACGCAAAGTCCCAGTTGGGTCGCAATACTCAACTCAAGAAGAGGAAGTAGCATAGACATACTGTCTCCAATTCACTTCCTCAACATTTGGTACATTACTTTCATTCCTATATTACCATAATGAAGAAATTGTGTCTGTGGTGAATCACGTCGAGATACTAATGTTCTACATTCAAACTTGTTTCACATCAATTCGCTTGATCGCAGAGATAACTAACATCATGTCACAAATATTTCACGTTGCACCTCAATATTTTTTTTTTTATTTGATCCATCATTCTTGTAAGAAACCAGTAACTTACACACCTAGATGTAACATACTTTCATGACACCAAAATACCTTGTCTTGCAGGAAGATGAAATGTCTTGTTTCTTTTCGATTGTGTCTGGTCGTCGGGAAAAAATCTTCTCCCCTACTTAATTCACATTTACTTTTCTGCCTTCACAGTTCGAAACGACTAATGATGGTACTGATGATGGTGTTGATGATGATTAATAGATGTGTGACTTGAATGCAGTGTATCGGATTTTCTACTGCCCGTTCCATTTATTTCAAGCAGATGGTTTTGGGTTTTTTTTTCTCCTCTCGTCATTAACATGTTTATGAAACGCTAATTTAGATGGTCGGAAGATAATGTTTGCTTAACGATCGGATCATCCAAACAAGATGTATGCTTTTACAGAGCATGTGTTTGGCGATGTTTTACAATTATTTTTTAACATGTTTTGATTACATCTTGCCTTCCTTGAGCTAATATAAACGATTCTGATAAAAAAAAACTCAGTTATTGAAAGCAGCAATAAATTGAAAATAAATTTCGAACTATATAGATTGAATGTCTCTCTTATCCAAAATTTCCTAAAAATATCAATTGTTGATAGCGCCTCTCAGGAAGATGAATAACTCAATGATTTTCTACATAAATGTTATTAACTCACGGCTATCAATACTATATTATTGGTTTTAAACTATGTTACGATTTTTTCAACTATAATTAATACTGTCGAGTCTAAAAAAAAGTAGAAGAGGTCATTCTCTGCTTGACCGTCAAGCAGTTTAGTTCGGTTTTCACTCTCACTCCCTCGAATTTTTCGTAAAGGGTGAACACTAACCGCGGTGTTTTGTGAAATATCGTCTGGCCCTACCACCCTACCGTGTTGATGCGGCTGCTTCGTTGTCGACGGGGAAACGACCCCCATGGCATCGAAAAAGCAGCTGACGAACAATTGTTTGCCATCCACAAAAAAAAAACCTTTACCCAGAATCAACCTGGCCTCAGAAGGGTGCTGGAATATACGGGTAGAACTTTCCTGCTAACCCCAAGGGCGCCAAATTCCAGTGCTTTCGCCACTTGCACTCAACACCAGCAAGAGCATCGAGTTCGTTGAATTCCTCAACGAACGAAACATTGATATCGCCATCATCGCCGAAACGCATCTGAAGTCCGAGATTAACGTCTTCCTTACCGATTTCCAGCTTGTGAGGCTGGATCGAACCAGCTCCGGGGAGGAGTGGCCATCGCTCGGAAGAACATCTACTGTCGGCTGCTGCCGAGCTTCCGGTTGAAGACCATCGAAGCCATAGGAGTGAAAGTTTCTGCCTTACTGCCCCAAAAAAGTCAACATTAAGGACGAGTCGGTAGCAGACCTGGTAAGGGATAATGCAATAAAAATGGCACCATCCTGTACAATGACCTGCAGAAATCGCAGTACAACATCTTGAGTCTGGACACTCTTACCCGGTTAAGTAGGTCTGGTGCACACGCCACCATCGACGTCTACATCAGAAACTTAGCCAACAACATCTTGCAACCTGTGGTTTACCAAGAACTCAGCACGGACCACTATTTGAGGGTGGTCGAAGTGGGTTCCAGATTCGGTAAACAGATTCGAAGCATCCCGTAGGCAATTGCAACAAATTGTCCAAAATTATCCAGCTACCGAAGTTGTCCCTTATTAAGGAATAATATCGATTTATGAGGTGACAGCACCCATTAAATCCACACAAAAAAATAAAGGCTGCTGGTGTCACTGGAGTGGTTTACTTCGAATTGAAAAACTTGAGTGTGACATAATATATGCATCACCAATTGCCATGTGACATAACATATGCATCACAAATTGCCAATTGTTACTCACCACCCAATTGTTGTACACTTCAAATTGTTTACTGTGCAGCATTATGGCCATGACGTTTACCGTGCATGGTGACATGTTGATCGTTTATCAACTGCTGAATGATAAAAATTGTTCTTTTGAAATTCAGTATTATAAATATTGATAATAAACTTGTTTTAAATATTGTTGGTATTGTAGGGTTAACTACCCCATTTCCGGCCTATTAAGCACAACCCGCACTTAATCTTTCTTAATCTAGCGCAGTTTAGCACCAAACGGAATGTTATTATTACTGATGGCTTCCAAATATATTTACCTTTCCGTATGTACCGTAAGATTTGATAAAGAGAAACCAATCGTTGAGATATTGTCAAAAGTCTAACACTGCTTCTTGACGCCAAACTCGGCCTACGGATTTGAAACTCGGCCTAACGCATTGAAACGCCAATGAATTCACTTCGGCCTATCGGATGAAGATAAAACATGATTCGGTCGGAGCGCTTCTTTTGTTTTTGGGAATAATGGGTGCAAACTTTCATACCACGCGTTCTCATTGACTTTGTTCGGTAGATTATTATCTAAAGCATCGTACCAAACGCATAATTGACTTGTTAACTCTGAAATCATGGATTTATTTTTAGTTTTCTGCTTGATAGGCCTGAACTGGGCGATTAGGCCGAAGTAGTTCTCTACCCTACATATGATTTCAGGTGAATTCAAAAAATTTCAGCAAATAATCTTCAGTTGAAAAATAAGCTAAATTCAATTAACTTAAGTAATCTTTACATGACAATGTTCATTATTCTTTTATCCAACTATCTATTGCAGTACATCCAACAACCATGTAAAATTTAAAATAAAAACATAGATGTCCAATAATTAGATCGTATTTAGACCTGGGGGGGGACGTGCTGTCAAATCAGCCTACTGATCATTCTTGTATGAAACTGGTTCCAAACGCAAACGAAGATTTCTTAAGCAAAGGCAACCTCTTAAACTCGTTAAATAACAAAAAGCGTGTGCTTAACTGTGCAACATTTGGAATAATACCCTAATTTGATTAAGTTTCTTCAGTGGAGTAATGTGACCCCCAGTCATGCTTGGCATGCACAGTTGTACTCACCAACTGCTCATTTGTAATTGATAGATTATGATCATAGCTTACTATAGATATGCAAAGAGTAGGTAACATTTCAATCAACACCAATGTATTTTTACACTTTATGTTCGAGATGTGCAGCGATGGAGAAGGAGGACTGATAAAATAAATTATGATATATTAACAAAATTGGAAGTTCGCAATCAACGGAACATCACATAGGAATTGCATGAGTGTCCCATATGGATAGGAAATCAAGCATAGATAGGACTTATATACGACTGTGTACCTAATTGTTCATCATCCAAATAAATATTTTCAAACACTTGGATGCTTAATTTTGGAAACCCACTTCACAATCGGAGAGTATTTTCTAAAAAAATAATCGCCCCTTTCATCCTGTTATTGTCTGGGAATATTTAGCATTCATTATTTAGTTTTCTAAAAATAAACAACCACCCACTCGCCGCAATGGCATCAACAATCGTGCGGTCGCTCACCACGTAAGAGTCAAGCAACTACAAAACGGATGAAGAATATGATGGGTTATTCACGAAGCAAAACAATAATAAGAAAATAAAGTAGGTGGGTACGGATCGTACAGATTCCCTAGAGAAAATGAGGAACGTAAATAATGTTTATACTTGCACTAGCTGTAGTCTGTTGAGCAAAACTAACACGATGGTAATTTTAAAGTTAAACGTGAAATCCATTGAGTTAAGGTCCGGACCGAATCAAAATTGTTATGATACGATGCGACAAACTCGGCGACAAATTTGAAACTTAGCTCATTACTCTCATATTTGTAATTTTTTTTTGTTCACAATCACATAAAATTGTTAATGGATCTGGAATTATCATTACATCTAGAAGATTCTAGTTGACCAACATGTTAATTTTCGATGATCGGCTATGTGACATATGTGATTCAATGATTCAATGATTTTGAAAGATTTTGAACGTCAATTTCTTGTGGAATAAGAATAAATCAGGTAAACTATCAGCAGCATACACCGTTCGAAAAATTCATGTAAATTTCTGTGAGATAGGTATAGCGTACATAAAATTAACGCTAGATTTGGCATAAATTTACGCGATATTTCGTGTAAATTTAAGCGCAATATCGCATAAATGAGCAATGTTGTATGCAAGCTTGTAAACGATTTCGCTGTTTATTCCAAGTATAGCTCAAAATTAAACGATTTTTTTCTGTGTAGTGTATAGGCGCTTTTCACATTTTTGTCTAGAATTTTTGTTTTGATTACGACACCCAAAAATAATAAGGTAACGGTATCTTACCTTGGGCTATGTTTCTAATTTGAGCCTATAGATATGACTATCTGTTTTTTGTTAGTAATTGAAACTAGAACTACCTCTCACCCAGCAGGCCTGAGTTCAATCTCAGTCGGCGCCGCCGGGATTTTTCGAGGCATAACATTTCTGATCTGACTTTCGGAAGGGAAGTAAAGCCGTTGGCCCCCGGTTCATAAGTTGATGGGTCGATAGGTAGGGTCCAGATGTGGTAGCTGCCTCCCTGGCGTTGGTAACATTGGTGCTCAGCACGGAAAACAAGACCGACGGAAAACAAATCAAGGAAAAAAAAAAGAAACTAGAACTAAGACGTATTAAAAATGGTTAATATGAGTCCAAAACAAAATGCTTATTCTGTCTTTTTAGAATGATTAAAATTTTCAGACAAGTTGCTGTACTTTTGCTATAGTCCTAAAATGGGTACATAGGTCGAGATTATATTTCGTATAACTTCGTGTTTAATGTGGAACATCCACTCAAATCGATTGATCGTGCACCCGTGAGTCAAGCGACCCACTTTGAATGCATGTACGTATATAAACGATTGCACTCTATACAGAGATATACTAAATTTCATCAATTAGTCGTTCAAATCGTCAATCTGATAACGACATGCAAATTAAAATAGTCGTAAAACGGTACGCCTGGCGAATTACTGCATACGTACAGCTTGTACGCTGCTCTGTCCTCAACGATAAATACCCAACATACGTGGAATTTCTCAATGAATGGTGAAACGTAAAGTGGGTTTAAATCAAGCCAATGTGTTTTACAAATGTTTTAAAATCACCTTGACATTTCAAGATTTATTTCTGGATGTAGGGCAGATGAACCAGTCATGACTAATGTGGTGAGTTTTTCCTTGCAAAATTCAACTGCGTAATAATCACCGATGAGTTTTTCGGATCGAAAATGATGTTATTAATTGTTTTTAAGTTATTTTTTGCATTATTCACATTTACAAACTAACAAAATATTCATGAGCATGCCATCAATCGACGATTTACCGGTTTTTATGAATTTTGAGCTGGAATAATTTGTTGGAATTGTAAGTGTGAGCACGTGAAAATGCAAGAAAATCTCAAGCATGAGAGTTTGTTTGCTCAGAAGTGTTCAATTAATTAGGTGAGAATGATTTCCAGAATACTGAATGGAACACACCATAAAAGTTATGTATAGCCAACCCTATTCAGAAATTATTCTTAAAAGGCTATGTTAAATCTATAAAAATTGTAATTTTCTCCGGTTTTTTAAACACATCTAAGAAAACTGAGTTTCTTCGGTTAAAACTTGACGTTTAAGAATGTTTAGCGAATAATCGGTTCAGTTTACCGAGTTTTCCCGATTTTCACGTACCGATCTCGAAAATATCGCTACTTTAACGGAATTTTTGGTTCCGCCATCTTTCCTATCCGTCATATTTATCCTATTGTAACCAAAATTCGGGTTTTTACACCTGACAAAATATGTTTAAACGAATTATTCGGTTTCTCGATTGTAACAGAAGTGGTTCGGTAGAAAATTTAACCGAGTTAGGTATAATTTTCTAAGTGTGCTTATTAAATTTATTTCCGATATAACCATCAAAAGTTCAATATTGTCTTCTTATTGCATATGATGTTTCTGATTATATATTCAAAGTTTCATATTTCTTGAACTTGATCGTGATTCAAAAGATTAACATTGTTGGTCACTATACCGGAATCGATTTCAGGGAAAAGGCCAGGTCTCGCTAGTTTCTGAACAGATCTTGGATTTGACCAGCATTGAATTAATAATTGCTTCTAGTATATGGAAAAACAAATGAATTCAATTATATTTTCATACCAGAAAAAAATCAAGCGATGATAAAAATAAGTTTTTGACATACTCTCCAAAAATCTGGAACATCCCCAGTCCACAAATTTTCTAATTTATTAAAACTTCTATAAATTTATCTTCAAATGAATCTGGTTACATCGATATTGGTAAATTTTTCGAAAAGTTAATGCTATTTAAATTTTAACAAAACCTTGCCTATCCCGATCATTTCGTCTATCCTCTGTAGATCCCACGTACTAAAAAATAATGTAAAAGGAATAAAATATACTACAACGTTTTGGTTTAGATTCTTATTTCTAGTTTTAGTTTTTTTTATTTTATTCATTTGTACCGGCAAAGGTAACTGGAAAAAAATGCCTTCTAACTCTTCTATTTTTTCACAATTATTATACTCTTGACACCAGCCGGGTAAACCTCAGTTGTAATACAAACTAAATTATTGTTTTAAATTTTCCACCGTAAATCAAAAGACCCAAGCTGGGAGAGAGAGAGAGATTTTGTTTCTTCAATTAATACGATATTTAAAGACAAACTGGAAGGAACATGCTGCTTCCCAAGTAACATTTAAAGTTTTATGAAATACTACAAAGCAACTATAAAACAACATTCATAAAACTCTGGTCAAGGCTATTTTGTCATTAATGCATCCACCAAAACCTCATTAAGACTAGAATATGTCTAGTTGGCCCACCCTGGAGAAGGTTCTGAAGGGTGTATTCTCGAAGCTCTTCAAGATTGATCTACTGCAAAAGGTTGTATGACGAACGCATTGATAACCATTTGAAAGCTACAATAAAAGCTATTTAGCAACAATAAAAACCCTTTCCGAGCCATTTCCCCTAGCCGCATGCTGAATCCACTAGGAAAGCATAAATCAAGATAGAAAAGGATTTATGAATCCGATCTTATCAAAATAATGAAAATAGAAACTGATGGTATAAAAATCTTGTTGAATATCCAAATTTATTACAATAGTTCTCATTAAGTGGCCTAGTTTTAAGTGCCGCATTAAATTTTATGTGAAATGTACGTGAAAACATCGAAAAAATTAAGTCCACCCTCGTAAAACGTCGATTTGACTAATTAAATATTTAACATAGAAAAAAAAATATATTCTTCAGATCGAGCTTGGCCGAGACTTTCTTTTTATTATTTTCGCATTTAAATGTTTGCTCATTGCTAAATTTACCAAAATATAGTTATATCTAAGAAAATATTGATTGAAAATCGAAGATTGTAAAAAACAAGCAATCTAATTGTAACATGGCGGTGGCATAAAAGTTGATTTTCATGGGTCATTTGTGAAAAAGTTGTTTTGCTTTCAAGAATTCCTTGACAAATTAATAAGGGTTTAAAATGCCTTTTATGAAGAAAACTTGCAGGCTGAATTGTATTTATCTAAAGCCATTTTGCTTGATCCTAACCCGTTCCGATTTATGGCAGCATTTATGGAGTCAAAGTTGCTTGCAAAAAGTTAAACGTCAAAGTTTGTTTATCTTTCGATAGTTGCGCTGTGAGATCCAGGATTCTTCCAGGCGGTTTTCTCCCGATGGATTGGAAGCAGTTACTCAGATAGTTTGCGATACTGTTTTACAACATTTCGCATGTCGAACAGCTGGAAGTGCAATCGTTCCCGAAAAAGATCCCCTTCTTCCGGATGGTTACAGAACTGCACCATCCAACGATGCAGGGATGTACGTTTGAATGAAATTTTCAAAGATTTGATTCTAAAATCGCTGCTATGGATCGGAAACCAGCTAATCTCCGCTCACGAACAGTTTCAGTGGTTTGCTGTCGGTTGATACTTCGCAAGATCTGGAGAAGGCTGGTATGTGTTTTAACTTTCGACAATGTTTTATGGCACCGCTCAGTTTACTCTTCTCCGCCAGATGGTCAGTCTTTGATGGTGTGCTGATTCTTCTAAGGAAGTAATTTTTTCTGAAATCGACTTGAATTTTTCATCCTACTTCGTCTATTCTATGAGATTTCCTTGTCATAAAATTGGCATTTATTAATTATGAGGAACCATCTTTTAAGCTCAATTTGTAAACAGAGTAATTGGGGAGTTAATGATGCACTTTAAAAAGCCTAAAAAGCAACAATAAATGCTTTTTGCTCTAATGCAAACCCAAATGATTTTATGGTTGCTTTTATAATGATAGAACACGTTTATAAAGTATTTTATCAAAACATTAATAAACAATTGCTAATGACGTTTATGCTTGAATTACAGAACAGTTTTAAGGAGGGATTGATAACTGTTTTAAATTTATTTTTAAAACAAGACAGTTTTTGACTTTCTTGCAAGACTAAAAAAGGTTTTTACAACAACAAAAAGGTGAATTACTAAGCAGGAATGTTTTACACTCTGAAATGCTATACTTAAACTAATTGGATTGTTCATTGTCGTTATAAAACCATCATAAATCAGAGTGGATGCTAAATGGTTACTGGATTGTTACTTGGGTTATAATGCTGTTGCAGGTTGCAGGTCAGCAATGGTGCTGACGTTTCTCGCATTTTCAAAACTAATTATCAATTTCCTGATTTGCAAGCAGACATTCAATTGCGACGTTTCAGTTTATGCATTTGACTTTTGTCCTGCTGAATATTAATTGGGCCAACGTGTGTACCATTGAAACCGAGACAGCAGTTTTACTTTGATTTGATTTACATTAACTGTATGAGTAAACTTCATTAATACGTTGCAATGCATTTACAGATATTCAGGGAGCTAGAACTACCGGCGGAAGTGGCCCGAATCAAAAGTCTACGAGAGTCATTGGTAGAGCAACGTGAACAATTTATCTATTCCATCGTTAACAATACTGACGTGAGAAATCTAGAGACATTGTTCTCATTAGAATTAGAGAAATACGAAAAGGTAAATTAAATCAATTTAAAATAAAATATGTCGAATACTTAATAACTAATCAGCGTAGGTTGTACAAGATGCCGCCCAGGGAGGTATTTCTATAGATGTGGGTAATAACTTTCCCGTAGAATCGGAAAAATGGAGCATTCTACAGGCCGTCTTCTTTGCCTCAACTGTACTTACAACGATCGGTAAGTATGATGAATGACAAATTTGATAGGAGTCTCATATAAATATGTCTTGCAAAATCCTAATAAATTATGCACGCTTTGAAATACATACATCCAATTTATCGCCTCATATATCGTCTATGGTAAACCTAATTAATTACCACACTGTATCGTAAACGTAATTCATTGCCGTTGGCATCTTACTTCAAGTGGAATCAAACTAAACGAAATTGGACGACCTGTCCTGATGCACGCCAAATGCTGTCTTGTTGGTGTTGTTTTTCCTAATTTTTCACTGGTTTAATTACTCGTTTAATTTAACTTCAACATGCTGTCGCATGTCTACCAGGTTATGGAAACATCGTACCAGTGACGCCATGGGGACGCATCTTCTGTATACTATTCGCACTAATCGGCATCCCACTGACGCTTTCCGTGATCGCCGACTGGGGACGGCTATTCGCATCGGCAGTTTCCACCCTGGGAAAACACTGGACATCCATTTTACCTATTGCAAGTAAGTGCCTGCAATCAAACTTTTCAAATGTTTCGATGGAACGAAACCAGCGTTAACAAATTAAAACCACTTGTGTCTCTAATAATTTATAATTTTCACTGTAGGGTTTTGTCCTGACGCTGGAATTAAGATGTCCGACAAAAAATGGCTGTACGCAGTTGGTGCTGTTTGTTTCCTAGGCGTTTATCTTGCCGCTGGAACTGGCTTACTTCTTTTGTGGGAAGAAGATTGGAACTTTTTCGATGGGTATTATTTCTGCTTTATCACCATGACGACGATTGGATTTGGTGATCTTGTTCCAAGTATGTATCGCAATTTTTGTATGAATTATTATCAAACTCATGGAAACGTTTGATTTGATAACAGGCAAGCCAAACTACATGCTATTATGTACCTTATACATTTTGGTTGGGTTGGCACTGACTTCCTCAATCATTGAGCTTGTTCGTCGACAGTATGCACAAAGTTGGCAAAAATTGCAAGTAAGTATATGTTCATTCTATTCCGTAATTGTTGTTAAAAAAATCATTAAATCCTAGGCTTTATCTGGTCCCCTTGCTGAAACACTGCGACGTCTGGGAGAGTCGGCAGGCACTGGAATTGATGTCACAGCACTGCACAATGATTTGAGACGTGTTCTAACAATCGTTTCAATGCCTCGACGGCACGGAAGTAAAAAGACCGATCCTAGTGAAATGGCTGCACTGGAAGCAATTACCAATGCGATACTGCAAGATATCAAAGAGAAACAGGAAAGTAAAGAACCACCGAAAGTTGTCCAGATCGTCATCTATGAATCGTCAGTTTAGATAGATATTTGAGTGGCAAGCACGTGGTTGAAAATTATTATACACGCCGACGACACCTTGTAACACGGATGAGATGAGAGAGATGCCGTCCATTAACGAAACCAGTTTAGGCGCGACACTGTAGAATGTTCCCAGATCATCAATAAAAAGTAAGAATAATAATCTAAACTCACGCATAAATTAAAAAAAAACGAAGGACAGTAATTGATGACCATTCTGATAGCGTAACCCGAGCAGGAATCGATAGCTTATAGATAACAAATGAATATCTTAATGTGGTATGATAACAGATTTTGGTATTCTTGTGGTATAAAACCTTGTTTTGATATTATTCAGTTATCGAAATATTTTATAAAATATCAAATGAATACCAAAATAACAAAATGTGATCTTTCAGTCAGTCAGTCTTTTTTGTCAATAACACCTAAAAGAGTTATTGAATTGGTATTAGAAGACCTTCAAAATAACTAACTATGGTATTCTGGCATCTAAAAAAGCGTCTGTTATCCGTTTGTTATTGTAATACCTAAATTATTTATTAGTTCGTTATTCGTAGAATATTTTTTAGGTATTATTTTTGGTATTTTACCTCTTATGTCAGTCTCACTAATACCATATTTAGGTTGCCAGTTATGCTATTTTCATACCTGAATTTGGTATTAATTAGTTATTTTTTCCTGCTCGGGAAGCGAATCGTGTATTACTCTCATATTCTGATAATCTGTATAGTCTAGCATGTTTAGTCTACACATCTAAAACCAACACATTAGTGGAGTTTGGAAAGCACAAATTTATTGGAAGTTGATAGTAAGCTTGTCGGTAGCAAATTACTTAACACGCAAAAGGGGGCCTTTATTAAATATCATTAGGCATTTAGGCATAAAACAAATCGCTGTTTTAATGAATAAGTTAGGTATTAAAAAATATATGCATGATACATCCACGGATAAATCATCACTGCAGCGTAACGGAAGCATTTGGGTTAATAATGATCAAATTACAACGATTCCATTGTGTGTTAAAGTGTGTGCATCAAACAAATATTGATGCCACACCATCATGATCCGATTACAGCGGACAATTTTCGTGAAGTAAATTGAATTTGAATCAGAATAGTGTTTTACTATTAGGGGAAATATCCGAAAACTTCCTTTGATATTGATTTTGTTATCGCTTATGTTATTTCTGAAGAAAATTCTAGAACAGCGGTTCTCAAAGTGAAGTAAATTGTGTGTTAGAGGTAATCATTTACATTTTTACAAAAAAATGTTCATTTTGGACCTTGTAACTTTTTCAAAATGGCACTTCTTATGGAAAATTTTCTTAGCTACAACTTTGCGCAATATTGATTTTCAGCCAAACATCAATTTAAATAGTTATTAATTGTTTAAGAGATTGATAATATTATGGCATGTTCAAACAACTGTTTTGTGAGCAACACTGTATTCTGCAGTGTAACATAGTACGCTTTACCTCTTTTTTTTTGGACGGGTTTGAACAAAAAATGGAATATTTCTGTCAAAGATGACTGCTAAATTTATTCGCCTTTGCATACGTACCGTTGGATTTGATAAAGAGTCCCAAATTGTTGAGATATTGTTTAAAATCTAATGCTGATTCTCGATTCTTAATTCGCTCTACGAGTTTCAATTCCGTCCTAACGTATTGAAACGCCATTAGATTTTCTTCGTCCTACGGATAAACGTAGAAAAATGGGATTCGCTAGAAGCGCTTCTTTTGTTTTGAGAACAATGAGCGTAAATATTCATACCATGCGCTCTAATAGGATTTATATTGTAGCTAATGAACTAACGCATCGGAACAAACCTATTATTGATTTGTACACGGTGAAATCATTGATATTATTGATCTTTTCTGATCGATAGAACGAAAATGGACGATTTCGACGAAGTAGCGCTTTACCCTATTCTCTGTTTTGTGCGATCGAGAGCAGTCGCACGTAATTGTATATTGTCTGCATGTCGTGGATAGGGAAACGGAATGTGCTGCTGTGTGATGTGCGCATTACAATGTTGTAGGTTTTTCGTGTAATGAGTTGCATATAACAGCGTTCACTAAATGAAATGCATTTCATGTGTCAGCCCCGTGTACATCTTGTTCAATTTTGAAATTTTTACAAATTTTACAGACAAGTGTCCGATAACTAAAACTTCTTTCAGTTAAAAGACGTTTCAATTAAAAATATTCCACTTAGCGAACGTCTAGTATACCTCCATCTTTAACATCGAAGATGCATCACACATACCAAAAAAAAACCAGGCCTACTATGAGGTATTCAAAGGGGCAAGATGATTTAGAAAACATCGGGCCTGTTTAAATCGAATATGCTTCAGAATACAATAAATATATGAAACGTGGACATCTCGTATCGAACGTTCCATTTTCGTAATGTTATGATTGTTTGGTCGTTGCAAGCCTCTAGACTAGAAATTTTAAGTGATGCTCCATTTCCCTCTAATGGTTGGAACCGCAGGATACCTTTGCTGAGTACATATATCAAAATATTGTTTGATATTTTCATTTCTTGACTTTGCTTTGAAAACAAAAGTATCTGTAGAACAAACATTGTTCATCACAAAACACTTTGTTATTTTATTATTAACATGTATTAGTTTTGGAAAATACTTAAATATGTTCGATGAAATTTAGAAATATTTGATGATATTTTCAAATATTCCTAGTTGCCTTGCCTCTTGGTTGGAACATGAGTTGGTGGGGTTGTGTATAATACACGACCGCATAGTTGACGTAGACTACGTTAAGCTGTGTAGTGAAATTCTCGGGCATTTGTCTAGATATTGATGTAAAATACAGTAGAAGTAACCTATGATTTCGGTCCTATGTACATGTTTTGGATTTCCTACTTAGTAAAACTTGGTTAAATTCAGGACCTCATAAAAATGCGAATACATATTCTATTACATTTGGTTGTAAATTACTATCAGATATGAGTAAGGCTTACTTCCAACAATGACCGTCATAATGGCTGATATTTCTTATCGCTTCAAGATTTCTAGGGCACAAATCTTGAACGGTTGTTACATCACTTATGAACTTGAAACTCCTTGCGCACTGCACTGCAGCAAACGTCAAGTTCCAGTTTCTTTGTTATAAGTTTTTTTTTTCTTCGGTTTGTTTTTTCCGTCGATCTTGTTTTCCGTGCTGACCACCAATGCTACCGACGTGCCAGGAAGGCAGCTCCCTTACCTGGACCCTACCTATCGACCCATCAACTCATGAACCGGGGACCAACGGCTTTACTTCCCATCCGAAGGAAGGCGTGATCAGAGATGTTATGCCTTAGAACATCCCGGCGGCGCCGACTGGGATTGAACCCAGGCCTGCTGGGTGAGAGGTAATCACGCTTACCACTACTCCACCGGCGCCGTTGTTTGTTATAAGTTTTGTGAGAGCTGATATTTGTACTCTTGAAATTTTGTGGTAATGAGATTGTTCAGAAAAAAGGTTTCCACAGCGATTCAGCTTCAAAACGCAAAAAAATTCACACAGAAAAACGGAGTGCACAATTTTGCACCAATGTTATGCAACATTTCGTAGTTGATCGGATTAGTCATAAATCCCTCGAATAAGTTATTGGTACATCTTTTATCTACCGATTGAACAAAAACAAACTAAATATTGCTGTTTTTTTTAAGATTTCGTTCGCGTTTTGTAGACGCACACCCATCATTTGACATAATAACACTGGGCGTTTCTGTGGTGGGAAAAGCAAGTGACTTCCATATCTATCACGTATTACAAATTCGACAGTGAGCATAGACAAGGACGTAACCGCGATGATCTATTTTCTCTTTTGTTAATAACTCGCTTGGATTAACATTTCTCGGTGTGTTTGCTGTTGCTTTGATAACCAATACAACCTGTTACAGCACTACATTGAGCGGCGCCGGTGGTGTAGTAGTAAGTGTGATTACCTCTCACTCCAGCGGGTTCAATCTCAGTCGGCACCGCCGGGATGTTCTGAGGCATAACATCTCTGATCACGCCTTCCATCGGAAAGGAAATAAAGCCGTTGGTCCCCGGTTCATGAGTTTGATGGGTCGATACGTAGGGTCCAGGTGTAGGAGCTGCCTCCCTGGCGTCGGTAGCATTGGTGCTCAGCACGAAAGATCAACGGAAAACAAATCAAGGAAAAAAAAGTGACAGATGAGTTATCGAATAACCCTGCTATCGAGCGTGGTTATTTCTGACCGACTAGAAGTTAAATTTTGGCAACTGTGGCTGAGTTCTGTTTGAAAACCGATCTCTTTCCTGGATTTTCGAGCATTGAAAATAACTTTCATAATGTCACGTTAAACTACGATTTAAATTTAACTCGGTAATTGGGACACAGCCCAAGATGTATTTCTCGATTACTTTTTCGAAGGGACGTATCAGCTTTTGTAAACAACGCATTTGATCGTCAATTTGGCGTAACTGGTAGCTCACCCTAGCATGCTAACTCTACCATCAGATAGGGTAAATTTTCCCTACCTGATATCATGGTGTAAGTATGCGTTGGCGAGCTATCAGTTATGCCAAATTGTCGATTAAATGCGTTGTTTACAAAAGCTGATATGCCCTTTCGAAAAATTAATCGAGTGGATCCACTTTGGAGCGCTTGCGCCATCGAGGCGACGGCACTGCCAGCAGCCAATGATCTCTATGGCAACGACGCGCAATGTTTGAGGTGCAAAACTCGTACGCTGCGCGCTTAACAGGAACCGCTGGCGCTGCCTTCCTACTACTGATGCTACTGCTGCTGCTCCATGCTCTACCGCCGTCAGAAGCGAAAATGAGTTGAGGCAAAAAAACAGCGCTATTTTATAACTTTTCAGATTCAAGCAGCACGATGTGCAACCAAATGGTACTCGATTATGACGACTGGGTTTGAGGAGAACGTTTATTTCATGCAAACAGTGATACAATTTTCACTTTTTATTTTACATTTTCAACAGTTTTTTTTTATGGAAAATTAAAAAGGAGTTTATTGTGGCAAATTATGAGAGTTATTTTCTATCGATTGGTGTATATGGATTTTAATTTCATCTATAAATTACAAAGTTATAAGTGTTCAAAACCTTACACCTTTTCGTGACGGTCGCAATTTTATATTTTCGATTTACCCCCAGTACCTTACCGTAAGACGTAGTCTACGTCAAAACCTAATACTGAGCATAAAACCTACACATAGAAATTTGTATTGATTTCCCCAAGGGATTTTATAACACCCTGTCACAATAAAAGTGCTACGAAATCGAAACTTTTTCTTTTATCTGTCGGTTACTTGCGCAAAAGCT